AGGAGGTGAGTACATGGGGAAAGCGGTTCAGGGGGAGTTGTTGGCATTGGGCATCAAACAACAGTTCACTTGTCCCTATAGTCCTCAGCAAAATGGAGTGGCAGAGAGGTTTCATCGCACTATCCAGGCTATAGCTACCACTTTCCTTCAGTTCAAAGGCCTTGACAAGCTCTGGTGGGGTGAGGCAATCACTATGGCAATTTATGTTCGCAACAGGAGACCCACAAGGCCCTTACCGGAAGGTGTAACGCCATATGAGGCTTGGTTTGGAGTTAAACAGATCTGTCTATGCTTCGTGTTTTTGGTTCCATGGCCCAATACCGTGTTCCAGATGCAAAGAGACTCAAGCTGGACAGCAAAGCTCATTGGGGCCTCTTCATCGGCATGAGCAATGAGAGCAAGGGATGGGTCCTTTGGGATCCTGTCACCAAGCGAGAAGTGGTTTCAAGGGATGTTGTCTTCTATGAAGACATGTCCCTTGCAGGTTGGCATAAGTTTTCCTCTTCCTCCTCTCTACCCTCTATCCAACAGGAACCAGCAAGCGCACCTGAGGAAACAACACAAGAGGAGGAAGAAGATGACACCGATTCTGATCATAGCGGACCGATCATCGATCTCCCTCAAGCCGTCGTCAACGAGTCCAACCGTGCCACGCCAGTGCCACCAGCAGCTACTCAACCAAGTGGAGATGAAGTTCAGCCATCAAATGAAGACAATCCACCGCAGCAAGTCACCGTTCCATCACCACCAAAGGAGCAGCAGCCAACAGTCACAAACCAGCCAGCTATATCAACACCAACCTCACAATTTCAATGCCAACCGGATCAGCCCACCACTACGCCATCAAACCCATCACCAGCCATCACTCCAGAGGCAACTACAGAAGCTCATCATCATCCCATGCAGCAGCAATCAACAGCTACAAGACCCCAAGTACCTACATCAACACCATCTACGACTCTTCCTAGCAACAAGTCAACCGTCACCGCAACACCTCGTTCTCATACCACACGTTCATCACTTGTTCCAACGTCAAGCCAGCTCATAGCACGAGGATCACTTCAGCGAGTCACCACCAACACCAGCTCCAACAGTCCACTTCTTCACCCAAGACCTTTCTCAACTTCACCCCCACGTCCCGGATTCGGTCGTCATCAGTTACCACCATCTTCAACACCGAGCAACAACACCAACCAGCCCCAACCATCACCACCTCTCGACAAGGCAGCGTCATCATCAATTCCCAAGCTTCTAGTCTCAAGATCCCCACCAAGAGCATCTTCACAACCAACTATGCCGACAAACGTTTCAGCTTCACCGCCACGAGTCACCATACCTAATCCTCAAGTCAACACCGATAATCAAGATATTTCCACGCCAGGAGAAGAACAAGCAGCCGTGCCGCCGTCGCAGCCGATGTCGCAGCCGTTGTCTCAGCCGCAAATGACCGCATCAACGCAATCAAACACTGTGAGACCGAACCCTACCACTAATGTGTCTCAGCCAACTGAGGAGTTTGGTAAAGGTAAACGAGTCCGCAAGGTAAAAAAGCCCTTCAATTTCATGGTTGACATGTCATCAAGGTGCACATGTGAGGAGAGTGAGAATTGCATTCACAAGAAGGTAGAGGCAATATGCATGGCAGCATCACACCTTCCGCGAGAGCCCTTGAGTCGTCGTGAGGCAATGGCAAGTCCCGAAAGAGAGCATTGGTTGAAAGCCGAGGAAGAGGAGATTGAGAGTCTCATGAAGCGAGGTACATGGCGTCTTGTTGAGCCACCTCCAGGGAAGAAGGTAATTGGTGTCAAATGGGTGTACAAGATTAAGGTAAAAGATGATGGTACACTTGATAGGTACAAGGCAAGGTTAGTGGCAAAAGGTTATTCCCAAATTCCAGGTCTTGACTTCACCGAAACCTTTGCCGCGGTAGCGAAGTACACCACGGTACGAGTCCTCCTCGCCATAGCCGCATATCTTGGTCTCCATATCCATCAAATGGATGTCAAGAACGCATTTCTCTACGGTGTCTTGGAAGAAGAGGTATACATGGCACAACCCGAAGGTTATGATGATGGTACGGGTCGAGTGTGTCGCTTGGTAAAGTCCCTTTATGGTCTCAAACAGTCCCCACGGGTTTGGTATCATGCTCTTGAGCAGGTACTTTTCAAGCATGGTTTCACAAGGTCCATGAGAGACAACGCTCTGTACTTCATGCACACGAGTGAGGGGGAGTACATTTGGCTCTTGGTATATGTCGATGACCTCCTCCTAGTCTCTGGTTCTCTTGATCTTCTCAACAAGGTGAAAGGTATTCTCACGAGTGCATTCACGATGACCGATCTTGGTGAGCCGAGTCATTATCTTGGTATGAACATTGTGAGAGATCGTAAGTCACGGTCCATCTTCCTATTCCAGCAAAGGTACATCCAAAAGGTCCTTGAGAGGTTTGGTCTTGATGATAGCAAGCCATCACCTACCCCACTTCCTTCCAAATTTGTCCCTTTGTCTTCACATCAGCCCTATGAAGAGAGAGAGTCAAGCCTTGATATCATAGGTATTAAAGAGTTGTGTCTTGAGGAGAGTGAGCATCATGGTGAGAATTCACTTAAGGTATCCCCACAAGACCTAGCTCTGTACCAAAGTCAGGTTGGGTGTCTCATGTATGCAGCCCTATGCACAAGGCCCGACTTAGCATTCACGGTATCTAAGCTAGCTCAACACATGAGTGCCCCTTCACCTATTCATATGCATGCAGCCAAGCGAGCTCTTCGGTATCTCAAAGGTTCTTCTAATCATGGTCTTCTCTTCCAAGCCAGCCCATATGCAAGCTCCCTCCAAGGCTTTACCGATGCAGATTGGGCGGGAGAATTGAGCACACGCAAGTCTACCGGCGGCTACATCTTCCTCATGTGTGGTGCCGCTGTTTCTTGGCAATCGCGCAAGCAAAGTTGTGTGGCACTTTCAACAACCGAAGCTGAGTACATGGCAATGACCAAAGGAGCAAGGGAGGCAATCTGGTTACGTGGACTCTTGGAGGAATTGAGGCAGCCGCAAACTCAACCAAATCCGCTCTACGTGGACAACACTTCAGCCGTAGCTCTTTCCTAGAACCCGGTTCATCATGGGCGTACAAAACACATCGAGGTGCAGTACCACTTCATTCGTGAGCAACTAGAGAAGGGAGTTCTCGCCGTCAACTTTTGCCGTTCATTCGATCAAGCAGCAGATTTCATGACCAAGGTTCTTCCACATGATGCATTCAACATGTGCAAGGCAAGAGCAGGCCTCATGACACTTCATGAAGCAGTGGAGCAGTTTGAGGAGAATGAGGAGTGTGAGGGGAACAGACGTGGGCAGCAGCATGAAGTGTATGCTAAGGAGATGTGAGGGTGTATGTGTGCTTCGGGTCTGGTGCGAGGGGGAGTGTTGGAGAATCGAGTTTCTGCCGCCCCAGCCCTTTGCACACAAGCAGCAGCAAGGGGGAATGTCGGCGATGAATCAGAGCTTCGGGAAGTACTTCGAAAGTTCCACCACCAATCAGATTTCAGCCGAAGACTCGATATAGTTCAAAGCTGCCTTCAAACCGAAGTGTTGGCAGTTTCTACAGGTTTCTACACATCAGAATCAGCTATAACAGAAATATCCAGAGTTTTCTTATTCATGCACCTCATGTGGCACTCAAAGTCACTCAAGGTCCATCCAATCTAGATTGTGCCCAAGTTACCAGGGAAGTTACATTGTCTATCAGCCTAGTTTGAGCTTTCAATCTGTCTTGTTTGTGATGCCTAGAGTTGTGCTTTAGTGGGCTTGTTAATCTTGAACATAGTGAAGTTTTACCTCATCCAGTCAATTCCAGCAGCCCTGCTAAGACTTTCCAGCCAAGTTTCCAGCCCTCCAGTAGTCACAGCTACTCTGTTTTACAAGTGTATGGTGGCTGAGCAAAAACGATTTCAGAGAAACCGCGGCAAGGCTACCCTCTCAATCAAGCTTAGGGTTGTGGACCATTAGGTTTCACGAACCGTCGTAGGGCCCACACACCGTCGCACCATAGTCGCACGCTTGTAGTTCACTTGTCGCAGCGCAGCATGGCGAAAGGAGGACAGCAGCAGTGCGTCGTGTGCCAATCGCAAGCCGCCAAGTACAAATGCCCCACGTGCCTCTCTCCCTAGTACGTCCGCTGTGATCGCAACCCAACCTTTGGACGAACACATTCCTTACACCTCGAAACCCGCCAGAGCTAAACATATGTTATCGTAATTTCCCATTCTCCCTCAGTCCTTCTTCCCCCCTTCCTCCAAACGTTTCTCCCGCACTCCCCCTGATTCTTCCCCCTGTCATCCACCTTCTCTTCCGCCTCGCCCCTCCCTGCGCCGCCTCTGAAGCTGCTCCGTCGCCTGCTGCAGAAAACATAAAGGTCAGTCCGAAGCTACTCTCTAATCTGTACGGAAAATCTAGAGGCTGAGTGAGACAGGAGGTAGGGTTCAGGGCAAGGGATCCAGGTTCAGGGTTTGGGGTTCGGGATTCGTTGTCTGGGTTTGGGTGAAAAGGATCCATTTCCTGTCGCTTGTTGAGGATCGCTGGTGCCCAATTTCGGGATACACGCGCGAGATATACATACTATGTATCCCCTTCCCCGCTCTCATACACGCCAATTCCCCCACAGCGGCGCACACACACACGCGCGCGCGCACACGCGTTTTCTCCCATCGCCTTTCCGACAGGGATTCTCACTCCCTCCCTGCAGGGTCATGTTTCTACGTTCCTCTTACCACTCCCTCCATCCTTCCCTCCTCCACACACCCTTTCACTCACTCTTCCCCCTCACGACACACACCTGTAACCACTGTGAATTCCTCCCCACTCCTCCCTTCATACCTGCACCACTTAAGACCTCTCTTCACCGCACTCACTCCCCCGCTCGCCCTGCAGAAACGCCATGCCAACCAAGAGAGCAGCCTGCTACGTCAGGAGCAGAGGCAGGAGCTACAGCCGCCGCCACTTCAGATGCCCAGGGCAGTGCCGGTCCTGACAGCAGCAGCAGCAGCAGCAGCAGCAGGAGCAAGCAGCCTGTGCGGCCGTTTGAGGAGTGTGAGGATGAGGATGAGCTCTCTTGGCGCCTGCCGTGCAGCACACTCAGAGAAATAGGTGAGGGAGGATGGGAGGTGTGTTTGGGGTGGCTTGACAGCAACAGCGGCAGGGGGGGGGGGGAAGCAGCCTGTGTGGCCGTTTGAGGAGTGTGAGGACGAGCTCTCCTGGCGTCTCCCCTGCAGCACCCTCAGGGAGATAGGTGAGGGAGGATGGGTGTATGTGTGTGTATAGAGGCTTTGTTTCTAAGGGGTATGTGTTTTGGGGTTCTGACAGTGCCGGGTGGGGGGGCCCTGACAGCAGTAACAGCAGCAGGGGCAAGCAGCGTGTGCGGCCGTTCGAGGAGTGTGAGGATGAGGATGAGGCCGAACTTTCTTGGCGCCTTCTCTGCAACACACGCAGGGAGATAGGTGAGAATTCAGCACCACTGGGTGTGTGTTTATGGGTGATGTGACAGCGCTAGCCCCAACAGCAGGACTTCTGCTGCTGTTAGAGGTATGGGACGATGGCTTTTGAGGCGCCTCAAAAGATGTGACAGCGCTAGCCCCAACACCAGGACTTCTGCTACTGTTAATAGAAGTATGGGACGATCGGAAAAGAAGCTTCTGCTCCTCCTCACTCCCCCCTCCTCACTCCCCACTCCCCACTCCCCTCTCCCCACTCCCCTCTCCCCTCTCCCCTCGCACTCTCCCCCATGCCGCTCACAGCAGACGATGCAAGCGTAAGGCAGCAGCGGAGGAACCATGAGTTGAGCTGCGCCCCTGCCCGCTCCTCTCTTTCCCCACTCCCCACTCTCCACTCCCCACCCCCCCACTCCCCACTCCCCACCCCCCACTCCCCACTCCCCACCCCCCACTCCCCACTCCCCACTCCCCACTCCCCACTCCCCGCTCCCCTCTCATGTCTCCCATGCCCTTCACAGCGGACGATGCGGCACCGAGGCAGCAGCGGAGGAACAACGAGTCGCAGCGCATGCTGGCTCTCACTGTCCTTGCTTCTTCAGAATACTCAAAAAACAGATTCAGCTTCCCTATTCTCCTCTTCTGCTGTCCTCCACCCACACACAGCGAATGACACGGCACTGAGGCTGCGTTTAAGGAACCATGGGTTGAGATGCTCCCCTCCCTGTTCCCCACTCTCCTCACTTCCCGTTTCCCTCTCTCTCCACTTCCCGTTTCCCTCTCTCTCCACTCCATTCACAGCGGGTGATGCGGCCCTGAGGCAGCAGCTGGGGAACCACGGGATGAGATGCGCCCCTCCCTGCTCCCCCCTCTCCCCACTCCCTGTCCCCCTTTCTCCCCTCTCCTTTTCCATGGCCCTCGCAGCGGACGACGCGGCATTGAGGCAGCAGTTGAGGGACCATGAGTTGCAGCGCATGCTTCTCCTCATTGACAGCTCCCCGCACCCAGAAGCGGTCAGTTCCTCCTCCTCCTCCTCCTCCTCCTCCTCCTCCTCGTTCTCCTCCTCCTCCTCCTCCTCCTCCTCCTCCTCCTCCTCTTCCTCCTCCTCCTCCTCCTCCTCCTCCTCCTCCTCGTTCTCCTCCTCCTCCTCCTCCTCCTCCTCCTCCTCCTCCTCCTCCTCCTCCTCGTTCTCCTCCTCCTCCTCCTCCTCCTCCTCCTCCTCCTCCTCCTCCTCCTCCTCCTCCTCCTCGTTCTCCTCCTCCTCCTCCTCCTCCTCCTCCTCCTCCTCCTCCTCCTCCTCCTCCTCCTCCTCTTCCTCCTCCTCCTCCTCCTCCTCCTCCTCCTCCTCCTCCTCCTCCTCCTCCTCCTCCTCGTTCTCCTCCTCCTCCTCCTCCTCCTCCTCCTCCTCCTCCTCCTCCTCCTCCTCCTCCTCCTCCTCCTCCTCCTCTTCCTCCTCCTCCTCCTCCTCCTCCTCCTCCTCCTCGTTCTCCTCCTCCTCCTCCTCCTCCTCGTTCTCCTCCTCCTCCTCCTCCTCCTCCTCCTCCTCCTCCTCCTCCTCCTCGTTCTCCTCGTTCTCCTCCTCCTCCTCCTCCTCCTCCTCCTCCTCCTCCTCCTCCTCCTCCTCCTCCTCCTCCTCTTCATCCTCCTCCTCCTCCTCGTTCTCCTCCTCCTCCTCCTCCTCCTCCTCCTCGTTCTCCTCCTCCTCCTCCTCCTCCTCCTCCTCCTCCTCCTCCTCCTCCTCCTCCTCGTTCTCCTCCTCCTCCTCCTCCTCCTCCTCCTCCTCCTCCTCCTCTTCCTCCTCCTCCTCCTCCTCCTCCTCCTCCTCCTCCTCCTCCTCGTTCTCCTCCTCCTCCTCCTCCTCCTCCTCCTCCTCGTTCTCCTCCTCCTCCTCCTCCTCCTCCTCCTCCTCCTCCTCCTCCTCCTCCTCCTCCTCCTCCTCCTTCCGCCTCCAGTTTCTCGTTTTTCTTCGTCACAACTTTATTCCCTTGCTTTTGTGATTTCCCGTTTGCATGGCCTTATCTCATCCCATGTCACTTCAAAATCTCAACACCCCATCACCTCATCCTCCCACCACCCCCTCTTACTCTCTCAGCGCCTGCATGCCCTCTCATCCCCTCCCACATGCCCTCTCATCCCCTCCCACATGCCCTCTCATCCCCTCACTGTGTTTCCCCGCAGGCACTAGAAGCAGCGCGGTCGCATCCAGCTTTTGCCAAGTTCCTTCAACAGGCAATCCTCTGAACCGCTCTCAATCCCTCTTCTCTCAAACGCCTCCGTTCCTCTCTCCCCCTCTTCTCTTCTCTCACCCCTCTCGCCTTCCTGCCTGGTGTTCCCCCTCTCCTTGCACCTCATCTCTTCTCCCTTACTCAGCAACCTCACAAGTGTTTCCAATGTTGAAGTTTTTCTTAAGTTTTTCCTCCTTTTCCTCTCTCTTCATCTGTGCGTCTTCTCCACACAGGTCCAAAAGCACTTGCCTCTAGCGGGCTGACAGTCTGACTGACGCCACGCGTGCAGCGCTCTTTTGTGTTGTGGTTGGATACTCAACTCGTACAACAGTCATCCTATCTATCTCCCCTGCTGGTTGTGGTTGAGGTTGGGGTTCTTAGAAATTGGAGCTGTTTGTGATTGAAGAATCTATTCGTTAGAGAACTCTTGCCTCTCCTGCTACCACTATTTGTGGTTGATGCGCTTAAAAAGAAGCTGTTTTGTGGTTGGGACTCTAGTACCGTACAGTCCTTCTCCCTGTGCTATTTGTGTGTGAGGCACCTGTGGTTTGAAGTCCCTACAAGTTCAACCATCCCACTCCAGGACGCTCATCACACGGGAATATACGGTAGTTGAAGTGCTCAGGAAACCCAGGTTAGAGGTTGAATATAGCCAGGGTGGAATTTAAATTAGAAACAAGCATGCATTACAAGACAACCCCGCACATACATCTTTATCCCAAATGTTACAGAACACTTTACATTACAAGCACGCCTCACCAAATCAGCTCGCCACTACGGCCTGTGGACTTGCACACTGGGAGCACGGGGAAGGGGGAAAGGGAGGCTCAGGAGACTGCCTAAATTCCATTAGAAGGGACCGTGGCGCCTGTTGTGGTCTCCGCCACGAGCGCACGGGTTTGCCACATTCACGATAAGCCTGTGACTGACTGGGACATCTTCACGGGCGTGGTGATTTCCTTGGTCGGGGCTGCCATTGTGGTGGACATTTTCACGGGCTTGGATGGGGTGGTTAACTTGCCCGGGGATGCCATTGACAAGGTACAGGTGTTCTCGTTTATAGTGTGACGGAACGAGACGCCGCGCGCGGACTATGTGCGAAAACCTTCAAACCCCGGGCAAAACGAGATACTTATAGTCCCGTTGAGGAAAATTGCATGAAGAGTGGTTTGATTGCTACTAGTTTTGGATTTCGTCTTTTACGTAGATTCGGACCGTGCTTGCTTCAACTTCTCGTCGCACGGTTCCCCCGCGCTGATCAGTGTCGCATGACTAACGTGTCAAACTATATCAATGCTAGTTCTGTGTAGGCAATAGTGGGATAGCCAATATGGGGTACAACCCAATGCTAGGGTTAGTACTTGTACCCACAATTCATTCAATGCAGTCATTCTAGCTTCTCATTCTAACATGGTTTCGGAGCAGTACGTCCGTAGGACCGTTTTTTTTTTTTTTTCGGGCCCACCATTCGGACTACGGTTACCGCATTACCTCACTGCCCTACCCCGCGTCGCGCTGCCCCGCGCGCGCCACCTGCGCGCTGCCCCTGCTGGCCGCACGCCACTGCTGCAGCGCGTGTTTTCTCTAGCGCGCTGCCCCATCTGCGCCCCTCGCGCCGCCTGTAGCCCCGCGCGCCGCCTGTAGCCCCGCGCGCCGCCTGTAGCCCCGCGCACTGCCTGCCCCAGCCGCGGCTGCCGGCTACGCCCCGCACGCCACCCGCCGCGCTGCCCCGCAGCCCCGTGCGCCGCCCGCTCTGCTGCCGCGGCCGCCCGCTACGCCCTGCGCGCAGCCCGCCTGCTGCTCCGCCGGCCGCCTGCAGCCTAGCGCGCCGCCTGCTACAGTCGCGGCCGCCCGCTACGCCCCGCGCGCCGCACCCTCTGCTGCCATGCCGGCGGCCTGCAGCCCCGCGCGCCACCTGCCACAGCCGCGGCCACCCGCTACGCCCAGCGTGTCGCCCGCCCTGCTGCCCCGCCGGCAGCCTGCTGCCTCGCGCGCCGCCTGCCTTTGCTTCGGCCGCCTGCTAGGCCCCGCGCGCCGCCTGCCCACTAAGTCTGCGCGCTGCCTCTGTGCTTGCCCCTGTTGCGGCCGCCCGCTTCAGTCTAGTGCGCCGACCCTCCTACTGCTGCTTGCCTGCAATCGCTCTGCCATGCCAGTCTCGTGCCAGCAGTTATGGCCACCCTCCGCGTTCTGTCGTTCGATAATGATGGCCGCCCGATTCAGTTCGAGACCTGACTTGATGACCTCCAGCTGTTCCTAATGAGCGATAGCAAGGACAACGTATCTCTCTTTGACCACGCGTCTGGTGCCTCTGTCGCTCCTACTGCTCACCTAGCCGTTCGCAACCACCTGCCGTTAGCCGAACTCACGCATTTTAACGAGCACAAAACCGCTAAGGCCCTGTACGATGCTGTAGTTACTCGATACTCCTCCCCTGCCACTGCTGCACTCAGCCGCCTCATGCTGCTCTACCTGTTTCCTGAGCCATCCACCTTTGCCACAGTTGCCGATCTTATCACCCACCTTCGCACTAGTGACACTCGCCTTCGCGCCGCCCTCCCCAAAGAGTTCTTAGCTAAGAACCCGCCTCCGATGTTCTGGACCCTCCATTTCATCGTGACCCGTCTCCCTGACTCTCTTCGCTTGGTCAGGGACCACTTTCTCGCTCGCTGTCCCACCGATCTCACTGTCGACCTCCTAGAGGAGCAGCTTCTAGCAGCCGAGACTAGCATGGTCACTGTAGGTGCTGCTCGTGCCGCTCCTCGCACCCCCATATTTGAGGGGTGTTCTCCCTCTCCCCTCGCCCCCTCCTACGCTACTGCCGCTGTTGTTGACTACCTTGGTGCTGAGTCTGTTGGTGATGCTTCTGCTCCTATTGGGAGGCGCCGCAGCGGCAAGGGCAAGGGATCCAAGAGTAACGGAGGTGGCACCGGGGGGGATGGTGGTGGAGGAGGTGGGGGAGGCGGAGGTGGCGGAGGGAGTGGTGGCGGGAGTGGTGGCGTCGGTGGCGGCGGTGGGAGTGGCGGTGCAGGCGGTGGCGGCGGAGGGGGTGGCGGCGGCGGTGGCGGCGGCGGTGGCGGTCGGGGCGGCGGTTGCGGTAGGGGCGGAGGCGCTGGCCAGAGACAGCAGCAGCAGCAGCGTCCTCGTGAGGCTCTTACGCCCCAGCAGCTTCGTGAGTGGCTGGCTCAGCGTGGGACGTCTGGGGGTAGTGGTCGCTGCTCGTATGTCATTCACACAGGTGACCGCGTTGGTCAGACATGCGGGACGTTCCACACCCAGCACCGCTGCTTCTCCCGCCTTGACGACGCCTGGCGTGAGGAGATGGGCGAGGAAGTCGAGCGCCCTCGCTGACATGAGCTGCTTAGGGCTGGTGTAGACATCTTTGCTCTTGACTATGATGCTATCCTTGCTGCCATGTATGCATTGACTGTTAGTGCTGAGGGAGACTGATGCTTGTGTGTGCCGCCTGACCCACGTATAGAGGCTGCTGCCTTAGGTGCGAGCGAGTATGCTCTCTCAGATACTGCGCCTACTGAGGCCTTGCACACCTTCACGCTTGACTCAAGTGCTTCTCGCTGTTTCTTTCGTGACAGTACTGCACTCACACCACCCACTGCACCTGTTGCAATCTCTCTGGTTGACCCCTCAAGGGGTCCAGTTCTTGCACGGTCCACCAATGTGCTCCCGTGCCCGGCTGTTCCGTCTGGCTCACTATCCGGCCTCCACCTCCCCTCGTTCTCTACGAACTTGGTGAGTAACGTAGTTCTCTAGGACCAGTGGGTTGACACCTTTGCCCCTGGAGGACAGCGTGTGGCGATTTGTACGTGCTCCCGGATCGGCCACCACCTGGCCACGTTTACCCGTCGGTCAGGGTCGAGTCTTTACACACTGACGACTGCGCGTCCTCAGTTAGCTGCTACTGGTCAGGTGTCTGTGTCAGGTCAGGTAGTCTCCCCTTGTTCGTGTTGCTCCTTGTCGCACCAGACTCTTCTCTGGCACCACCGTTTGGGTCACCCCTCCTTGCCACGTCTACGTGGCATACACCATCGCCTCCTTGTGTCTGGTCATCCCAGGTCACTCCCTCCCCTCCCTGCCTCGCCTGCGCCGCCCTGCCTTCCTTGTGTCGAGGGGTGGCAGCGCGCCGCTCCTCACTCCTCCTCGTTTCCCCCGACAAAGGCTCCCCTGCAAACCCTCCACATGGACGTGTGGGGCCCAGCCCGCGTTTGTGGACAGGGCGGAGAGCGGTACTTTCTGCTGGTTGTCGACGACTATGCGTGTTACACCACGGTCTTCCCCTTGCGCACCAAGGGTGAGGTCCCTGCTGTCCTGAACTGTTGGATCCGAGCAGTTCGTCTCCAGCTCCGCGAGCGGTTCCGCCAGGACCTTCCTGTCCTGCGTCTGCACTCTGACAGAGGTGGTGAGTTCTCCTCCGACCTCTTGCGGACCTTCTCTCAGAGGGAGGGCATCCTCCAGTCGTTCACGCTTCCGAGCTCACCGCAACAAAATGGGGTTGCTAAGCGCCGCATTGGCTTGGTCATGGATATCGCTCGTACCTCCTTGATCCATGCGGCGGCTCCCCATTTTCTGTGGTCGTTTGCGGTCCGGTTCGCCGCGCAGCAGCTCAACCTCTGGCCCTGTGTCTCCTTGCCGGAGACCTCGCCCACACTGCGTTGGACGGGAGAGGTTGGCGATGCGTCGGTGTTCCGGGTCTGGGGTGTTCGTGCCCTTGTTCACGATACGTCCGCGGACAAGCTCTCCTCCCGCACCATTCCCTGTGTCTTCCTCGGCTTCCCCCCTAACGCGCCTGACTGGCAGTTTTACCACCCCACCTCGCGCAGTGTTCTGTCCTCTCAGGACGTCACCTTTGACGAGTCGGTTGCTTTCTACCGTCTCTTCCCCTACCGCACTGCCCCTCTCCCTCCCCCGCCGCTTTTCCTCGCTCCAGGTCCCCCTCCGGTAGACCCCCTCCCCCCTCAGGGTCCTGCTCCTTCAGGTGTGTCTCAAGTAGACCCACTCCCCTTGGCTGAGCTTGTAGAGGTCACTAGCGACTGAGGAGCTGACATCAACATGTGTGCTCTCTGTTATTTTGCATCCCAAGTGCGTGCTTGGGATGGGCGCTTGGGCACACCTATAAGGATTAATATGCGCCACCCAGGTTTTGACACAGGAGTATTGACACAACATCGTTAATCATACAACCTCTAGTTTTCCGTATGACGTACATATGTGCAATATGATGAGAGTGTGTTGATGGTCGAAGAGATAATGTAGTCACTCTATAAAAGCGCACGCAGTGCCTAACACATTGAGCGAAACACAATGTGCGCATGAGTAGGTTCTGTGACGGTGACATACATATTTGTCTTCATGCATTGATGGCAATGATATATAGCATTAGTGACACTCGGTGTTATAGAGTCCGGTTAAGATTTCTATAAAGCGTACCGCTCTGAGTTTGGACCATTTTTATACAATCGTGCATCTGATTGGATGAGAGTCTGGATTTGCGTGCAGCCCTGCAATCTGTGGCGTGCGTGGGTACTTGGTGGCAAGATTGGAGGGTGACCTCCCGAGGTGAAACAAGGCCTGGCCGGCCTAGCGAGGAGAGAGCTGCGCCGTAGCTAAGAAGAGAGTGGTTGTCACGCAGCGGAAGAAAGAGAAGCCAGGCTAAGCTGGGAGAGACGCCTAGCTTCAAGAGACGAGCAGTGATAGAAGATACAAGAATAGAATCATAGAAAGAGATCCGGATGATACAAACAAGAAGTATTTATGCTAGGAAAGGAGAAGTGCGACTCGGATAGGACTACCGTGTCGCCACGCTTCTCGCATGGCACCTTCGCATAGCGCCTCTATGCCATGCCCTGCTGTACTTATCTTCCTGACAAGGATACGGGAGTGTGATCTAGGCTAGCAAGTGTAAGAGTTCGGAGCTAGCTAGGCAACCATCCGTTCGGAAATTCCCATGCATCCCGCATGGTGAATTCCCGTCTTG